AATTCAGAAAAAGTGGACTCACACATTATACAATTAAATGGTGTACCTGAAGCTGATGAAATCTTAAATGTATGCAGCCCGAACACATCTTAACAGCCACCTTGTGTTTGCTAGGTGTGTGACATTGCACGGTTCAGATTTGATTTGGTTGTATGAAAGTACATTCTGCGATATTTGTTACTGGCTTTGTTTTGAATAGACTTACATCTACGGTAGCTAGAGAATGTGACCAAAACAATTGACTTATTTCCACTGAGCCACAGCCATGTGTGACTTACATCATAATGCTTGGTAGCCAATGCTTGAAGAAAGCCAGAGCCCAGTCCAATGATTTGTGTGGACATGGCATCAAGTGCGCTGGTTGGTTCATAAAATGTAATGGAAGTTTGATCCAATTACAAGTACGAAAACAACATACTATGTAGCACTGCACACACAGCTCAAAATCTTAAATAATGTATTGGTAGTAGTGACAAAAACCAATAGAAACAAAACACAGACATTCACAGACACACAGCACAAAACCAATGTATTCCTATATATTATTATGAAAGAAATATATTTCCGCTACAACTCATCATCAGGATAATCACACTACTGTAGCTGAAATTGCAATTTATGATTAAGTTCAAACATAATAATAATTGCATGATAGGATTCTTTCATAAACGAGCCGCCTTGAAATGGCCTTTCATATGTCACATGTTTTTATTCTTGGGCGTTTTACCTTTGGTATATGACCTTTCGCGTTGTGACACTAATCGTTGTTATTTACTGACGTGTGGATACACCTCTTTTATTAGTGGGGGCCGTTTCTGGGCGGATAATTCACGGAGAGATCGTATTAAGGGCAATTATGGGAGTTAGAACCTTACCTTTGTTCAAGAATTGCCATTTTTTCTGCTATGATTAAGGTACTGATGGTTTCTAGCTGAAATAAATCGGTTTCATGCCCATAATAAATAGGAACACCATATGTATTTGAGTGCAAATGCTCTGCTTCTATAAAAGAAAAAGCAACATGATCATCTAATACATCCAATGCTTGTTATTACAAGCAAAAGATGAGTGTCTCAGCCTTGTTAGCTGATATACAGTTCTGTGAAGGAAACAGATAATAACATCCCAAAAATATTAACAATACATTCACAAAATAGGATTATTATCACATTTATTCAATATAAAGATTGCTCTAGAAACATCCACACAACGAATTCTTTGCTGAAAAGTTTTCATTTATTTTATCTGGTCAATTCAACAGATTCTGCCTGAGCATCAATAGGGACTCTACCAGGACATTGGGCCATTGCAGGATAAATTGTCAGGAAAGATATATATTGTCTTTTGGAGAAGCAATTTGTTAATCTAAGGTTTTCTAACAAAGTGTCCCCCTTACAATAAATGGCCATGCTACAACGTGGCCTTGTGGGGGGACGGCATCTAAGCCGGTGTGTGGGTTGCTGCTTGAATGATGTATGCACATATCAGAGACAACGGTGTAGGGAGAGAGAGGCAGATTTTTCCACCTAAGTGCCTTCAGAGGTGCAAAACGGGATGTGAAGGCCCTTGGCATCGGCTGGCGCGTCTAACGGACTGGAAACAAGGCTTTATATTCAGCAATTTATGATCTCAACGCGTGGAAGGGAGTGTAAATGGGAGGAGAGGGGAGGGAGTACTGGGAGAGACCTTGGGAGGTGAAATGAAGGACATCGTCCAAGACAAACTCTCATCAGCAGATGTCGATGAGAGAAGCCCAGCTAACAGGAACAAATGGGATGGATTCGATCTCAATTTGACATGTTGCTAGAAAGCCTTCCTCTATTTTGCATTCAGTCTTTCTCCCTGACATCTGTGCTCTATGTACAATATTGAGCATGCCCACACGCCTGTCTTACTGACATGTATCACGACAGATGGAAAATATATTGGGCTGAAAAATCAATACTTTCTCATGCTTATAATTAGATAAACACACATTCCTGTAGATGTTGAGGCTTCAAAGTTGAGAAGAAATCCCAGTGTTGTTTCTTGTGTTCTCTAAAATATTCAATTTCACTAAAACCAGTCCAACAGTATTTCAGAGTTGTATTTTCACTGGCCTGAATGGTTAAACAAACCACAGCTGAATCATATTTACTGCCACGCAAACCAACACAGTCTCACTCGCTGAACGTCCAGAAGCGACGCTTGGTCAAGGTCCTATGGCGTGCAGTTGTGACGCGCCGAGTCTCCTTCAGCTTCATAAACGGACGCAAAGAGCTTTCAACTGATTGCAATGTATTCCCATTGGCGGCGGTATTTGACGCTCAGGGAAGCACCGCGTCGGTCCATGTCGGTCACAGGCTCCTCCAACAGTGCAACACAATAAAACAGATACACATAAAAAATAGTGCAAGTAAATACAAAAAGAAAAATAGTAAAATAGTAAAAAGTGAAATAGTGCAATAAAAGTCTATATAGGAATATGATATATTTGACAAATCATTTCTAAATAGCAGCCAGATGAATGTTTTGGATGTTGTTTCAAAGTTCAGGTGTTTAATAGTCTTCTGGCCTGTGGGATGAAGCTGTCCCTGAGTCTAGTGGTTTTAGTCCGGATGCTGCGGTACCGCCTGCCAGACGGCAGCAGACAGAACAGTTTGTGGCTGGGGTGATGGGGGTCTTTTATAATCCTGAGGGCTTTCTTTAAGGTTAACCTGAGGTTAACCTTAAAGAAAGCCCTCAGGATTATAAAAGACCCCCATCACCCCAGCCACAAACTGTTCTGTCTGCTGCCGTCTGGCAGGCGGTACCGCAGCNCACTACATACTGATATACACCTGAACATCAGCAGGAGAGGACTCTTTAAAGTAGAGACACTACATACTGATATACACCTGAACATGTGCATAATGATGCCCGTTTAAAAATGTTTTTAAAAAATATGATGATCCACATTTCATCTTTATTCCATAAAACTCCACTTGTTGCTAAGCAATATTAAAAAAGAATTAATAGGGCAAATACGTTTTGTTTCTTGGCACTAATACTAACATGTTACTGTAATACAAATATATTTTAGGAACACTTTGCGGCCGGAGAGCGACTTAAAAACTTCACAACACTTTTCACAGTTTGAGTTTGATATAAAGTTTGTCATTAATCATCTGTGGAGTGATTCCATTGCTGTGTGTGTGCAGAGTGGGTGTTCAGAGGAGAGGAGGGAGAGTGGGAGTTACTTTCTGTATTGGCTGCTTCTATGTGTGCTTTTATAAACCTGATCACATGAGGACAAGATGCTTTTAGCCATGATAATGTTGATCTGAAAGCAATCCTCACAGAAGCACAACTCTATAATCTGTGTTTTGGCTCATTTGACAGAAAAACACCCAAACTTCAAAGATCTGAAATCCAGTAAAAGCTTTTTGGCTCTCGACCAACACCGTCATGTTTTTGTTTTAACTTCAGAACGCCCCGGACATTAAATTAGTGTCCGGAGTGCATTTAGCAGAGTAGCTGAAATGAGAGTGGCTGCGTCTGAAAGCAGGGGCGGAAACATTGGCTCTTCGTTGCCAAAAGGACGTCAGTTGCTTTTGGGGGATTTGCTGATTCAGCTTTAGATAAAGAAAAACTGGAACACTTTCATTTCATAAACCTTGTCCCAAAACAAAGTTCAATATCACTCCAGAGGCTGCTGTGTGTTTATTATTGTCAACAAATCCAAAGGAAAGATCAAAACAAACAATATGTTCTGTCGGTGCCATCTTTGGTTATAGACTATAATCCCTGTGTTTCCTCCAGAGGGAGTTCATATGCTGATTCTATGTTTAATTATGCGATGCTTTTCCGAAATGCCTCCCAAATGAAATCTATATATTTTGAAGTCTCAGTATTTCCTTAACAGTTTCTCATTTGGTTTTTTATTATTATCTTTCAATTGTTATCAAAGTACACGTTTTTTTGTCTGAGCAATTCCAAAAGAAGCCCACAAGATGAAGCCCATTGTGTCCTCTTGGAAATATATATATATATCTATGAATCTAAATATACGCCCTCTGTAACTTCCCATCAAAGCTGACACACAAAAGGAGAAAATAGTGCCTTTGTTCGGGACTATTTTCACCGGTGGATTAATTCCAATGTAGGCGCTGTAGCCAGTATTTGTGTCGACAGGACGGTGTGTGTGGGAGTCGATATAAACTACAGTGTGTGTGTTCATGGTTATGAACACACACACTGTACATCAGCCTGTCCGTCCTGGGAGAAAGATCCGTCTCTGTTGCTCTCCCCCGGGATTTATAACATTTTCCAGAATCAGAATCCCTTCATTAGTCCCACAGCGGGACATTTACAGTGCTACAGCAGAAAGTGCATAGCAGGTAAACAAGGCAAGCTATAATAAAGACTTAGCTAACTTATTAAATATAGAGAAGTGTAGCATACATTAGAAATATAATTAAAATGAAGACAAATAAATACACATCCATGGCTAAAAATGAGTAGCAGCTAAAAAACAACAGCAAGTGACATAAGTAGCATAAAGGTCTTGAGACATTATAGGCAAGGCAAGGAAAGGTTATTTATAAAGCACCTTCAAGTGGCAATTCAACGTGCTTTACAAGAATGAAAGACATTAAGAAACATATTATAAAATGGCATTTAAGAACACTAATTTAAAAGCAAAGATAATAAAACTTGAATAACAAAGGTACATGAATGAAAGTTATTATGAAGAATTTCGGACATTTAAAAAATAAATGTAATTGTGGGGTTTCTTAGGGAGTTTTCCCGTATTACTTTGATGGTTTAAGAACAGAGGGTGTTGTATTACATATTCTGTAAAGCCCCCTGAGGTAATGTTTGGCTTCTTAAATGACATTTGAATGACTGATTGACACTTTCTGCCTGTGCCTCTGGGTAGGTTATTTTTGTATTATATGTACAGCACTTTGGCTCGACCAAAAATCATTTAAAAATGTGCTATATAAATAAAACTTGATTTGATTTGTGTCAGCAGCACCATGGTGAAGGAGCGGCTGCCCAGCTGGGTCCTGCAGGACTCGGACGAGGCTCTGGTCCACGTGAACGTCGGGGGTCTGAAGAGGAGCCTCTGCTGCGACACTCTGAAGAAATTCCCCGACACCAGACTGGGAAAACTGCTGGCCTGTGACTCCGAGGAGGACATCCTGAAGGTGGGTCCATTACTGGGATCTGTCTAAACAATAGATCATTTCACAAAGATATTGAAGTGACTGTTATTTTGTATATATTGATTGTTGTGTTTTTATTTATGTCTCAATGTGTGCACATGTCTGTCTTGATTGTATATATATATGTGGGATATACATATTTGTATAGATATTTGTATTTTTGTATTCGGGATGGTGGGAAACGGTATTTGGATCTCTCCGTCTGTACACACAGACTTAATGTCCCAAATCAAGTCAAAGTGAATGGAGTTGAATGAACTGGACTCTGAACTGGAGCTGTTCTCATGTCTCCTCTCTCTCTCTCTCTCTCTCTCTCTCATCGTTTCTCTTTCTTTATCTTCCCTTCCTGCAGGTGTGTGACGACTATGACGTGCAGCAGAAGGAGTTTTATTTCGACAGGAACCCCGGTCTGTTTCCTTACGTTCTGCACTTCTACCAGACGGGGAAACTTCACATCATGGAGGAGCTGTGTGTGTTCTCCTTCAGGTCTGCATCAGGTTTACATCTGGACACAATTACACCAATTTCAGAAGAAGACAAATCAAATTCACATTTATTATTTATTAATGAATACTTATCCCACAAAATGGCTATTTCTATAGTAGGTCCTTTACTAACCTTGAACACTCTGTAAACTTGAATGCCTTACGGTACATGCATGATGACGGACTACTTATAAAAACTGAGTAATGTTTCACTCTCATGAGTTAAAGGCTTTTTACAAAATCAAATCTATATCAAAACGTTCATTTAAAATCACAATTCTTGCAACTCATGGAGGAGCTGTGTGTGTTCTCCTTCAGGTCTGCATCAGGTTTAGATCTGCAAGAAAACTTTACAGCCATTTCAGAAGCAGACAAATCAACTTAACAGGGTCTTAATGAATACTTATCCCACAAAATGTGTACAGTATGTCATTTAATACTTGAAGACAACTTTCTTCAATGCCTTACATGCATGGTGAAGGACTACTTATGAGTACTGAGAAATGTCTTGCTGAGTCAAAGGGTTTTTACACAGTAAATCTATGGCAACACTTATATTTAAAATCACAACTCTTGTAGTGTAATCCAAGTTATATATATACCCAGCCCAGTACTCTCATTACTTCACAAACACATGCATTTCACAAATACCTTAATGGCTTGAAACGTGTGCGAGCTCAAACTGTTTACGCAGAAGTGTTTTAAACAGTAAGTGTAGTGACCACCATATCCACTTGTTTACTCTTTTGTCTGTGATTCACTCGAGGGCTGACCAATGAATAGACGCTTGTTGTTGAGAGAAGAAATAAAATAAACGTCCAGATGCGATTGAACATTTAAATATTCTTCTTTATTCACAAAAAAAGCAATGGAAAAAATGAATAAACGTTTTCAAACAAACTATTTCTCATATAAACTGATACTTCAAATATTAAAGGCAAAATGAGGGACCAAGCTGTTCATCTCGTTAAAAGCATGTGTTTTTTAATCAATGAGCATCGACTGCATGATTAAGACTTGGATAATAGCTGTGTGAGAGCTTTTAAAGGGATGTTGTTGATAGTTTTTTTATATTATTTGTCATGATTTAAAGACTCTAACCGGTGCTCACACTACCCTGATGTGTCTGGTGTTTCCCGGCAGTCAGGAGATCGAGTACTGGGGCATCAACGAGTTCTTCCTGGACTCCTGCTGCAGTTACCGTTTCCACGACAGGAAGCTGGAGGGCTCGCGGCACCACAGCTGGGACGAGGACAGCGACGTGAGCAGCGTGGACACGTCCGTGGACGAGATATCAGACCTCAACAGGTAGAAAGACTTCTTCAAACCTGTGAGTAGAGGGTTAATCATGCAGCCAGACTGTTAGAGAAATATCACTGGTCCCCGGCTTGAGCTTCAATCTCAGGATCCATGTATCTGTGATCCTCTCCAGAATGGAAGTAGTCATCACATACAGATGAAAACTAAAACTATGAATGTGTCATACTCACTAAACGGGAAGACAATATTAACCATGTTTAGCTAAACGAAACAAAAGGGTAATAACAAAGGCTCTGAATTAGCCCAGAGCGAAACAATTCTAGCGCACTTAGCACAGAACTCAGGGTAAAATACTCGTATTACTTATCGGATCTGCACAAACAAGATCTCGATTAGCAAACTGAGATTCCACAGATTCCAGACATATAAGTATCACCACTGAGCGATCAGAACTTGTGACCTGGGAAACAAACCCAGACATCACACCACGTAGATTTGCGGAGCAAACGCGGAGATATTCTTACCTTTGCTGTTGTTCTGATCAAAAGTTGTGTTCAATGGCATTAAAACGATAAAAACACTGCTGAAGGTTAATCCATAGGTTAATCCAAATGACTTCTGATAATCCATCATAACATTTATGTCAATAAGAGTAGTTTTCATATAAAGCTGCTATGAGAGCTACTAGAGTGTATGGCAGCGCAGCACTCATTCACCAATGGGTAATGTTTCGATGGATTTGAGGAACTTCCCCTCGATGCTAAGGTTCTAACGGTTTAAAAGAGATGTCAATCATCAAAATCGACAGACGGGGCCAGAGAGATGGCAAATGCACCCAAATGAGTGTTTTTTTTCTTCTTCTAAATCTCTCTAAAAAGGTCAAATGTCACTTGTTTTGCATCAATCTTGATTCAGGGTACTTAGTGTATGTTATAGTTTGGATTCCTAAAGCTTTTAGTCTCCGATCCCATCATTCAAGGGTGATTTTCACTATAAGTAATGTTTTTTTTTGGACGGACACTATAATTTACATCTTTTTCTATGCTCAATCTGAATTTACTTTAAAATTAAAAAAATTCTATATTGATTCTGACTTTTCTACATCCAACTCACAGGTTTATCATTGCTTTGAGCAAAAAGATAATTAATTTACCCCTTTTAGAAGTGAAGATATGGTCATTTGTTCTGGGAGCCTGAGGCCTGAAAAACAGGCTCGGGGCTTAACAGGTTAATCACAGAGCTATCATATGCCTCAAACAGTCCTGATGCTCTTCTAGGTAATCACACATCCTGTCATGTTCACAGCTACAGTTGGGATACCTCTGTTATCATGTGGACTCTGATACTGGAAGAGTTCTTTGAGTATTTTCCCAACAAAGACTCACATCCACCTCCTCCGTCCTCTCAGAGACATGAAGCACTTCCAGGAGGTTCGGCACGGGAACATCAGGAAGTGTTTGTGGCTGACGTTGGAGAACCCGGGGTATTCGATCCCGAGCAAGATGTTCAGCCTGGTGTCCATCAGCGTGTTGCTCAGCTCCGTCTCCATCATGTGCATCAACAGCATCCCTGAGGTGACACACTCTCAGTTTCCATCGGAGGGTTTAGGACTGTGTATTTGGTGGGAAGTAGTGGAGTACAAATACTTTGTAACTGTTCTTAAGTACATGTTTCTGGTATCAGTACTTTACTCGACTTTTTACTTTCTACTTCTTATATGTTGAACACAAATACCTGTACTTTCTACTTCTTACATGTTGAACACAAATACCTGTACTTTCTACTTCTTACATGTTGAACACAAATACCTGTACTTTCTACTTCTTACATGTTG